TTCGAAAATGGCTATGGCGCATTAGCGGCATAAAACAGGCACTAGGCATTAGGCCAAATCCTTTAAGCACCAATACACTCACACACACACACACGGCTTTTTATTAGCGTGCACGTGCGAGGAGCAGCCGGACACCCGACGGGGGAGCGCGAGCCACTGAAATCAGCGGGCGCCATTCGAGCTTCCGGCGATGCTGCCCATCAAAATCAACGTTTTATGGACCTCTAATCGCTTTCGCATAAATTTGCGCGCGATTTTGTAATAAAGCCGGGCATCCCGTCTCGCTGCTGCCAGTCAATTGGCTCCACCCGCTGTGCCGCTGGCGGACTTCGATTCTCAATTTGATATCAGTTTCATAGAGTTCAGGGAAGATTTGAGTTACCACGGGACAAATTTAATTAAAACAATACCAAAAGCCAACACAATCAAGGCAAACAACACACGGCACCAAACGAAATCCCATAGATTGCTGAAGAAGAGCAGCAGCAACAGCAGCAGCAGCAGCAGATGTCATTTCAATTGAAAAGTCGCAAACCAAACAGACTTTAATTAAAAAATGTCATCCGTCTCTAGCTCGATTACCTATTATTTACCAATAGACAATCCAAGGTGGACAAGGTGAGAAGTGTAGGCTGCAAACGGAAGGAGATCAGAAAGGGAGGGAATCCATAAGAAAAGTAAAAAATATTGCCGACAATGGAAAGTGAAAAGCAAAGTTATTTCATACGAAATCTTCTGACTCTCTCTCTCTCTTTCATTTGCCAGTTCTTTACATTTTAGTATCAGTAATAATTACTTAAAACAGCAAAATAATTACATCAGAAAACACTTTTGTTTCATATCTTATGCGAAAATTGATTAAGATCCACAAAGTTAAATTTCATGATTGACTAACTTTTTTCTTTTCCATAGTCCATCTAATCTTAACAGTGGCATTAAATGTTTGAAATGAAATGTACACACAACAACAATTCCAAGCTGATAAGTCCGATTAGTTAAGTCCACACCTTGTGTCTGTTATCTGTCTATTATAAAATTTCAAAAAAATATATATGTATTTCTACATGTAATATATGTATGTATGTATGTATTCTTTATTTCGTAGTATTTAATAGTATTTAATAGTATATATGTAAGTATTTTCAGGTAAGTATTTAGCAATATGAATATTTACTCTACATATAATATATGTTTTACGTTTAATAGTATTTATATTAATATATTATATTATATTATATTATAATAATATATTATATATAATATATTAATATTTAAATGTATTTAGTTACTACTAAGCATTTATTTATTTTATTTGTACTTTTTCAATATAAAATACATATTAATATTTACAAGTATTTCTAGATATAAACGTAAATAAATTTGTCTATGTCTCTGCCTAGGCATCTGAACCCTCCCACACTGAGCGTAAAGCTTCCAAACCGGTTTAGCTACTTTATATATAAAATAGTAAACAAATCTGATTTTTTTTTTTCGAATTTCGCTTGATAGAGAACCTACGAGCTTCGAGTGTTTACAAACGGCACTCTCTGGAAGCTTATCAAGCTGTGCTGTGCATAAATAGAATAAGAAGCTCTCATATTAATTCAGTTCTCCCACGACGCGTGCCAAGTTCACTCCAAACTGTAATTGAATATATATTATTACTGATCCGCCATGCTATTCCTAACGATCGCGCTGCTGGGCGTGGTCCTGGCGCTGCTGTATAGCCTCTATCAAAACACGTACAACTACTGGGAACGCATGGGGGTTCCATACGAGCAGCCATTGCCGATAATTGGAAATATGAAAGGCATCGGCTCAAAGCGCCATTTCCGCGACATCAATCAGCGGATCTATGATCAGTTCAAGGGCAAGACACCGTTTGCCGGGCTATACATGTTTTTCAGGAGGGTCGCCTTCATAATCGACCTGGATCTGATCAAGCAGCTGTTGGTCAAGGACTTCAATGTGTTTCAGGATCGCGGTGTTTTTAGCAATGTGCGCGATGAGCCGCTGACCGGACATCTCTTTACGCTCGAGGGCGACGAATGGCGCTCCATGAGGCACAAGTTGACGCCTGTCTTCACTTCCGGCAAGATGAAGCACATGTTTGGGATTATTGTGGATGTCGGTCGTCATCTGGCCGACACAATGGACAAAGAGGTAGCGGCGGCAAGCGCCGAGAATGGCGACGTGGAGATCAAGGAGCTCTGCGCTCGCTACACCACAGACGTGATCGGGAGCTGCGCCTTTGGCATCGAGTGCAACAGCTTGGCCAATCCATCCGCCGAGTTCCGCTCCAAGGGTCGTATGCTTTTCGAGAGCCCGCGCCACCCCCAGATCATTCAGTCCTTCATCTTTACAAATCCGAATCTAGCTCGAAAAATGCATTTGAAAGTGTTTCGTGATGATGTGACGAATTTCTTCATGACGGCTGTGCGATCGACGGTCGATCATCGCATCAAGAATGGCATCAAGCGCAACGATTTCCTCGATCAACTGATCGAGCTGCGTGCCGAGAACGAGGAGGCAGCACGTCAAGGCAAAGGCATTGATTTGTCCCATGGTCTGACCATTGAACAAATGGCCGCCCAAGCCTTTGTGTTCTTCATAGCTGGCTTCGAAACCTCCTCCAGCACAATGGCCTTTTGCCTGTACGAATTGGCCCTGCAGCAGGATATACAGCGGCGACTCAGGGAAGAGATCGAGACGGTGCTCAAAGAGACAGCCGATGGAGAGCTCACCTACGAGGCTGTTAGCCAGATGAGCTATTTGGAGAAAGTCCTTGCTGGTAGAAAAACTAAAGATTAATCCCATATTCTACTTTAATAATCCATCCCCCATCATTTCCGTACAGAAACTTTGCGTAAGCATCCCATTCTGCCCCATCTGATGCGACTGGCGAAGACGGATTACCCAGTACCTGGCACAAACCTCGTCATTGAGAAGGGCACCTCCATAGTGATTCCTGTGCATAATATTCACCACGATCCTGAGATTTATCCCCAACCAGAACGCTTTGATCCAGAACGCTTCGAGCCAGCTGCCATCAAGGCCCGCCATCAATTCGCCTATCTGCCCTTTGGCGATGGGCCTCGCAACTGCATCGGTGAGCGCTTCGGTAAAATGCAGGCTAAAGTCGGCCTAATCTCCCTACTGCGTCGATTCAAGTTCGGTGTTTCCGAGCACACTGAGATTCCATTGAAGTTCAATAAGCGTAACTTTGCCTTGTCCACCCAAGATGGAATTATCCTGAAAGTAGAGCGTATTTAATGTGCCGCGGTTCAAAACCAACATAATATCGAACTATAATTACTCGCAATATGTTCAACTTAATCTGAATATAAAAATTTGTTCATAGTGGTTTAACAAGAATTTAAAATATTTGTGTGTTCGCGATGAGTTTGCCAAAAAATATATTAAATAAACAAACGGACGATAAGAAAACGTGAGTAACAAGTCTGTGGGGGCCATAAATTAAATACCCAGATAACGACTTAATACCAATAAGAGCTTTGAAAGTGCGGTAGCCAAATGTGTTTTCTTATTTTGGAGAGAGACAGAGGGGAACGTGAATAATCAACATTTACATATGTATGTATGTATAATACAAATAAGAAACCCACGGGATTCTAATGTATTGGTGAGAGTGGCATAGAATCTGGCCTGGTCTTTGCTCTGAGTACAAGCAACGTCTCTTTAAAACAAAACCTAGTTAAGCTCTTAAAGAATACTCTTCTGCTTCAGCTCCATAGCTTCTCTGGCATGCAGCGTCTACTTTGCTGAGGTGACAACAGATGTACCTGACACTTCCATCCAGCCTTCTCGCCATTTCAAGCTGTTTACCATTTCGTCTATTACAGTTAAACGTCCATATCGTGCAGCAAAGAAAGAATCCATTAAAAACAAGAACAACCTCTAATTTTATACACATAAATTTTGTTTTCAATGGAATTCAGTATAATTGTTAAGATATTGCCATAGGTCAGGCACTGAGATAACGGTTATTTGCAATACGCACCAAATTGATGAAATATAACAATTTGTTGTATCCACGCAAACTCAAACTTTGCAACTAAAAATAAACTTGATAAGCGAAAAAGCTCATTTCGAGCGCCAGCACTTGACGAAGCTCAAATTACTCGCTTTGTTATTGCTTCGCTCTGGCTCTCTGCTTCTTAATCTCACTCTTTCTCTCTCTCTCTCTCTCTATGTGCCTACGCTTGTTCAATATTCGTTGAGAATAAATGAACATGTAAACGACTTTGTGCATTCATGCCGACACACACACACGTATACGCATATGCATGATAATAAAGTGAACTCATAGCTAAATATACCCTGTATAGCAGTGAGAATAGGCTTATATGGAATTAAATATACAAAACTTTTCAATCTAATATTATAAAGCTTATCTTACAAAATATATACATATGTTCAAATTTTCCATTTACCTACTTCCATTAAACACCCAAGTTCAAGTCTTTTACATGTAAAATATATACATATATATGTATATAATAAATAAATAAATTCATTAATAATAATGTATCAATGTGTTCAAATTTATGTACATATATTACTTCTATAAATGAAGTGCATGCTAGTCCGATTTATTTATAAGTATGCATGTGTAAGTAAAATAGGGGGTATTTACTAGCTTACCCGCGCTACTCGGTTGCCGCCACACAGCCACTGTAACTGCAACTGTAATTTACGGCGTTAGTTCTCTCAGCCGGCGTCTTGTGTGCTATGCCGTTATGACAATTCCATTATTCAAGTTGAAGGCGCACTTTTCAGCTCTCTCTCTCCCACTCTCACTCTCTCTTTCTATGCGTTCATCACTCTCACTGTCCACTGGAACTGCTGAGAGCACGCCAATTCCAGCCACATACATGCATACATTGATCATCGGCAAGCTCTTCCAGGGCGCCAATTAAACTGGCATAGAGTTGTTGTTTACATTGAAACGCACTTTGTACTCTGCTCAGAGCAGCTGATTAGGCACAGCTGCAGAGAACAGATTCCAACTCACACTCAGACTCAGATCAGTTGAAAGTGAAACGCAGAATATGTTGGACGTAATTGCCCTGCTGCTCGTGACGCTTGCCGTTAGCTTCTGGTTCGTGCGCACACGGCTCAGCTATTGGGCGCGACGTCGCATAAGCCATGTGCGGCCCAGCTTTCCCATGGGCAATCTGGAAGGCTTTCGCAGCACGAAGCACTTTAAGGACATTCTGACGCCGCTCTATGAGAGTTTCAAGTCCACTGGAGCGCCGTTTGCGGGCTTCTACTTTATGCTGCGGCCCGTGGTGCTGGTGCTTGATCTGGAGCTGGCCAAGCAGGTGTTGATCCGGGACTTTGCCAACTTCGAGGATCGCGGCATGTACCACAACGAGCGTGATGATCCGCTTACGGGGCATCTGTTTCGCATCGACGGGCCCAAGTGGCGGCCACTGCGTCAGAAGATGTCGCCCACCTTCAGCTCCGGCAAGATGAAGTTCATGTTTCCCACCGTCTCCGCCGTGGGCGAGCAGCTGGCGCAGGTCTGCGGCGAGTTGGCCAGCAATTCCATTTGCGGCATTCTGGAGATAAACGAACTGATGGCCAGGTACACCTCAGATGTGATTGGCAACTGTGCATTTGGCCTGGAGTGCAATGGACTGCGCAATCCGGAGGCCGAGTTTGCCGTGATGGGGCGACGCGCCTTTATAGATCGGCGCCACAACAGACTCATCGATGGCTTCATCGAAAGCTTTCCGAATCTGGCCAGGCGACTGCGACTTTGCCAGATACACCAGGACGTCACGAACTTTTACATGCGCATCGTCAGCGATACGGTCAAGGAGCGCGAGTCCAAAGGGATTGTGCGCAACGACTTCATGAATCTCCTGATTGAAATGAAGCAACGTGGCGAGCTCACGCTGCCCGAGATCGCGGCTCAATCGTTCATATTCTTTGCCGCCGGCTTCGATACCTCCGCCTCGACTCTGGCCTTTGCGCTGTATGAGTTGGCTAAACAGCCGCAGATCCAGGTGAGGCTAAGAGATGAGATCGAGCTGGCATTACAGACACACGACGGACAGTTCACCTACGAGTGTATGCAGGAGCTGCGCTATATGGAACTAGTTATAGCAGGTACGTGTTATTTGAGATATGAGAAATAGAGCGAGAGAGATATTAATTGATTTTCCATTTCTATAGAGACGCTTCGCAAGTATCCCACATTGCCGCATCTCTCGCGCATCTCCAAGAAGTACTATGCAGCCAAGGGGAATCGCCACTTTTACATCGAGCCCGGCCAGATGGTTTACATACCCGTCTATGGGATACATCACGATCCGGTGCTATATCCCGAGCCGCACAGGTTCATACCGGAACGCTTTCTGGCCGACCAGATGGCCCAGCGACCCACAGCATCCTGGTTGCCCTTCGGCGATGGACCGCGAAACTGCATCGGCATGCGATTCGGCAAGATGCAAACGAGCATCGCCCTCTTCCATCTGCTAAGACGGTTTCAGTTCAGTGTCTGTCCGCGCACAGAGTCCAAAATCAAATTTCAAAACTCGAATCTATTGCTGTGCCCATCGACGGGCATTTACTTAAAAGTTGAAGAGCTTAAGAAGTAAATTTAAATTCCTATATATACGTTAGATACTTAAATAAATATATTTTATAAAGTGAACTAATCTACTTATAAAGCCATAACTATATTGACCACTGCCTGATAACGGATTATGCTTTTACTAAAATAAGTAAATTTATCTTCTTGTTTTAGTTAAATAAATAAATCAAATTTGATTTTTGTAATGGATTATTTTTCTATAATGTTAATGTACTAAAACTTACCAAAATATGAAAGAGTAAAGTTTAGTTGAGCAAAGAACTATGTACTTGAAAATATTTTTCATATCTTACAATGATCCCTGAACATAATTTCAATTTCAACTGTTTAGTAAAATATTGCGGCATTTCATACTCTGAACTTGTAGTTAGATTAGATAAATAACTGCGAAATATAAATGTAAACTTAATATAAATACAATTAAGTCAGCATTCAATGAAAAACTAGTTTTATATATAATAAATACATGCGTTTTCCAATAGCTCGAAATAGTATCATTTAATTCTCTAAAATGCACTCTACGATCATGTTACCCTCTCTCTCTCTCTCTCTCCCTCTCTTACTTCACTAATTGCTCGTGGGAAAAGCTTTTGAGAACAAGAGCTTTTGCCAATAAATATCGCGTACTCGGCGAATCATTTACTCAGTGTGCATCGAGGTGTAGAAATGTCGACAATTCTAGTTCTGATCGGAATCATCGTGACCCTGCTCTATTATGCAGCACGACACAGGCACAACTACTGGAATCGCCGTGGAATTCCACACGACGTGCCCAGGTTCCCGAAAGGCAACATTGCCGATTGGCAAACGAAGCGCCAATTAGGCGTTATCTTCAGAGACTACTATCTGAAGTACAAGAACAGAAATGCGCCGTTCGCTGGCTTCTATTTCTTCTTTACGAAGACCGTGGTTGTGACCGACATGGAGCTGGTGAAGCGTGTGTTAATAAAGGACTTTAGTAACTTTGAGAATCGAGGTATTTTCCACAATGAAGACGACGATCCTCTGTCCGCGACATTGTTCAGCATTGAGGGTCAGAAGTGGAGGCAGTTGCGCCACAAGCTGACGCCCACCTTCACCTCCGGTAAGATGAAGAACATGCTGCCCATCGTTTTGAAAGTCGCCGAGGAAATGGCCAAGATCTTTAAGGAGAAGGTGTCCACATCGCAAGTAGTTGAGGTTACCGATTTGGTGGGACGCTACACGGCCGATGTCATTGGCAACTGCGCCTTTGGTCTCGACTGCAACAGCCTGCGTGATCCCGACGCGGATTTCGTTCGCATGGGCAAACGGGCTGTGTCGGAGCGGCGATATCGTGGCATCTTAGATTTCTTTATATTTGGCTTCCCTAAGCTGGCGCGTCGCATGCATCTCAAGATAACAGTGGAGGAGGTGGAGGAGTTCTATATACGCATCATCCGCGATACCATCAAATATCGCTTAAGGACCGAAGAAAAGCGCAACGACTTCATGGACATGCTCATCGAATTGTACCAGAAGCAGCAGGCGGGCAACACCGCAGAGGGTCTGACCTTTGAGGAGTTGGCTGCCCAGGCATTTATCTTCTTCGTGGCCGGCTTCGAAACCAGCTCCACAACCATGGGATTTGCTCTCTATGAGCTGGCGCTGCATCAGGACATACAGAACAAGCTGAGAGCGGAAATCAACGAGGTGCTGAGTATGCAGAACAATGAATACACTTACGATAATGTGAAGGCAATGAAATATCTGGAACAGGTTGTCATGGGTAAGTAAGGTCATATATGTATCTTCTATGATAGTCTGAATATAATTGTTATTTATTGCAGAAACTCTACGAAAGTATCCCGTGCTACCCCATCTTACCCGGAAGACCATCTCAGACTATTCACCCGGAGATCCAAAGCATTATATTGAAAAGAACACCGCAGTTGTGATACCAGCCTTGGGCATACACTACGATCCCGACATATATCCGGAACCAGAAAAGTTCAAGCCCGAACGCTTCACAGAGGCGGAGATTGCCGCTCGGCCAGCCTGCAGCTGGCTGCCCTTTGGCGATGGTCCGCGCAATTGCATCGGCTCACGTTTTGGCATGCTGCAAACGTCTGTGGGCTTGGCCCACCTGATTAGGGACTTCAAGTTCAGTGTATCGCCACAGACCCAAATACCCATGAAGTGGATCACGAAGAATATACTCTTGTCAGCTGAGAACGGTATTTACTTGAATGTGGAAAGAGTATCAAAATAAACAGCAGAGGCTTAATATTAAGGAATGTATCTCTGTTATATTTTCAATAGCAATATTAT